TGCCTATTTCTCGTTGTTCGCTTTGTGTTGCCGCAGTATTCGCCACAATATGTTTAAAATATTTGAAATTTACTATTGAATAAGGTTTTTGTTGAAAACTAAGTAGTTTATTTTTAGCTAAAATCTATTATAGCACGAAAAATTGTAGTTGAAAGGGTTAGTTTATGAAAATGCATTGATGAGTGGCAACAGTGTAGTAAGCAACACTGAGGGCTCCAGTAATCGACAAAATTCTCCGTATACAGACTGCGTTTAAGTATACGTTCTGCGTTCTCGACTAATTTCAGCTAAAAGCTTAGTATCCAGCTCTTAAGAAAAGCAAAAACTCCATATAAAATGACGTACAAGAAATGGCTAAGAAATATTCTTGAGTCAAATTTCCTTAAGGCAGTACGCAGTTCTTCAGAAATTTAGTACGCTTTCTACTACGGTTTTCTAAAGTTTTTTGTGAAAAAAGAGCACAAGGCAACCCAAGTTTGCAACAGAAATATATGCCCGTTCCATTATTTCTTGAGGAAAGAGTGAGGCAACAGGCTGTGAGGTATAAAAAATGTCAAAATTCCTTGGACACACACGCGAAATAATGGCAATTTTTTCTTGACCGTTTTCTTGAGAGCTGGATACTAAGCTTAAGTAAGAACCAAGGCGTATTAACTACATTGATAGCAAGGCGAATTTATGCAAGGTGGTGTTGATGGCGAATTTGGATTTTCGCCGCGGTTATTATTAATGTCAAAATTATGTGTTTGTTGTAAAGTGAATTCGCCCTGTTTACAACAAACACATCATTTTGACATTAATAATAACCGCGGCGAAAATCCAAATTCGCCATCAACACCACCTTGTATAAATTCGCCTTGATAGAAGCCAAGCTTCCTCTTATGAGCAGGCTTGTGTCAAATTTTCGTTTGTTTTACTTTGTTTACATATCCGCGTATACATATAGCCTGTTCCCGTACTTCACAATTTGCAGATTTTACAGGAACAGCTGATTTCGCCTTTAATAAACCTTATGTGAACGTGGCGTACGCACTAATACACATCATGACCCTGCAAGAACAGTGACAATCATTTGACAAATCGTTTGAGTGGCAAGACTGATATAGATTTCCGTCACTGGCTACCTACAAGTTTCTATCAAATTCTAAAGGGCTGTGTGAAAAATCTGATGTAAACATTTGTGTACATGTGATCTTCCGTCTTCCTCCAACTTATGGTCTCTTTCTAACCAACGCAAAATTTGCAAATGCGTTAGTAAGAGAAATGAGAATGTGTTATAGGCTGTCTTTGCTTACGCGTAAAAGCACATTTAGCGCATTTAGCTCTAAATGCTACTCTAAATGTACATTTATCCATACAAAATTCGTCACCTAAATGCAACTAAATGCAACTACATTTTTGCATTAAGAATCTAAATGCTAAAAGCAACCCTGTGATCTTCCAAAATTTCCACGATTCGAACATGGTTTAAAGAGAAAAAGTGGCAACATTGCTTTTTCGAGTATACAGTGGCTAGCTGCGTTTCAGTGATCGCCGATCGAGATTTCTTTTATTTTGCATTACATATTTGGATAAAGAAAAGTTAAGAAGATCCAATATCGATGTGATGCTGATAGAAATCTGGATCAATTTGTAATCAATTCTGTTTGTTTTGTTTCCTAATTAAGTGAGGAAATTTTAATTGACAGCACCGACAAATGAATATATGCATAAACAAATGTTCGGTTATGGTTAAAACAATTCAAGTTTTTGTATTGAATTTTTGGTTTAAAATTTATTTTTTCCTTTTCAGTAGGGTTTTTGCACATTATCTTCTGCGTGAGAATTTATCGTAATATATAGGCATCTAAATAAGAGACTGGAACACGGCTGTTTGTCAAAAGCATACGATTTCGAACTCGCGTAAATGTACATTTGCTAAATGCTATAGCATGAACGCTCTTCGAAAACATATGTTCGAAAGAGCTAAATGTTGGATTTTAAATGCAGCAAAAACGCTGCATTAGTTTCCATCACACAATTCTTGTAGGGGATCCAACTACACAAGATCTGACAAGACGAAGCAAAAGAAAAAAGTAATTTCGTTTTTTTTTTTTTTAAAGTAAACAAAGAATATAAAGACTAAGCTTAAAGAAAAAAATGCAAGCAACTTTTCCGCACATGCTTGTGCTAACCAACTTATTATTTTGTACGTGTTTTTGCCACCAATCACCGCGCTCTTCATTTTAATTACATTTGTTCCTAGTCAGAAGTTCATGAAAAGTGTCAAAAGGTCAGCTGATTTGCATGTGCAAACAAAAACAGAAAGCGGTGTAGGCAAAGAACCTGCGGAACTGTCAAACTACAATTATACTCTCTCAAGTGAGAGTAAAAGGAGAACAGATGCAGAAGTGCACGGGAACGCAAAAAGCACTATTTCCTGTAAAAACGTCAGTCGGTTTGTTTACAAGGCGAAATATAATTTGGCTGAAATATCACTAACTATTTATTAAAATCTATACATATTCAAATATTTCGTTGTTTACTTCCATTATTTTACAAATATAAGATTCTTTGCTTTCACCGCTTTCTGTTTTTGTTTGCACTTGCAAATCAGCTGATCGTTTGACACTTTTCATGAACTTACAGGAAAAAAAACTCCGGACTAAATCCTGTAACTTCTAACTAGGAACAGTTGCTCAGTTACTCTCTCAAATGTGTTCCCACTTACAGGTTTTATGTCAATAGGAACGACTTCCTGTAAGTGTTGACTAAATCCTGTAAACCGGACTGCTATTGGAACAGACTAAATGGAAGTTAGCAACGAAATTTTTGAATATGTATAGATTTTAACAATTAGTT